TGAAACCGCAGAGTTTAAGGTCAATGCAGTCAGTTTGTTAACATGGGACAGGCTAGTAATTCAAACAAAAACGACAAGCACTGATAAATTCATAGATCTCTGTGGAAAAAACAAAAGTCTCACTGTCTGAAATGAGTTCCCAAATATCAAGCAAGAAGATTAGACAACATTAAGGAAGAGAAACAGTGCAAGAGCAAACCTCATCAAAAAGAACTACTGCAGCCAACTCATCATCACAGAACTTGTCCTTGAGTTGCTTGAGCAAATGAACAGCGGTACTGGATCAAAGAATGAATTACCAATGAACAGATGGTTTAGACAACATTCACATACAAAAGGAGGGAAAGTGCTGGAAAAAAGATAACAACATTGTAATTGAATATTGGATTGGATAGAAAACTATGCAGTGTAAATAGAATCCCAGATAACTAAGAATTTCCTGTCAGCTAACCTCAGATGCTTTTTTTCTAACACAAAATGAGATAACTCTGCAGCAACCCTCCATCCAATAGCCTTGATCACGCAACTCCTCTAATAGTTGAAGCATAAGACTCAAGTCTCTCTCGGAATGAAGACACTCCTATGAGAAAATGAGGAAAAATACCATGATATCACAACTGTACAGGAAAACAAATACAAAGGTCTGGTTCAGAACTTACCATCAGAGATAGGACAGCTCTAGGCTCCAGATCACCTCCAGATTCCTTGATTTCTTCATATGTGTCTACAGCATCAGCCATTTGCCCATTTGATGCAAGAGCAGAGACGAGAGCACTTCTGAGTTCATTTAGGCTTTTAACTGGTATCCCTTCATCCAAGGGAACCCACCATATAAATTAGTATCTCTGAGATCGTCACAGATATAATATAATAAATAATGCATAAAGATGTAAGAAATAAAAAAGGACAAAGAGAGAATGCAGAGAATTTTTAAGTTGTCAGATCCCATAGATATATCACATATCCAACACTTAATCATGGCTGAAATTGCATCATCAAGATGATTTATCTATACCATATAATCAGTATATTTCCTCTTGCTTTTGGTGGGACTTCACATGAAAATGGTGCTAGATGGATGTATTTCAGTCCTACCTGTTTTGCTTTCTCAAACTGTCCACAAGCTGCATATGCACTAATAAGTGACATAAATATGTGCTTCGTTACTGTAATCACAGAACACTTTAGTTCTTCATAATACTACAAGCAAATAATCAAATTATTGTATCAGTGGCCATGAAACCCATTTGCAGCATGACAAGAATAGAAGTAGCAATAATGCAAGAGACAGCAGAGATGAACTTATCTACATATAGAAACAGGGAAGACATAAATTTCAAGCAATTACTACATTGCATCAAACTACCTTGATAATATCCTCTTCACAGTCACAATAGGCTATTAGATAGCTGTAAGTTTGGGGATCTGGTTTTACACTGTCAAGTTCCATTTGCTTGAGAACACTCAACCCAGCAGAAATTTTCTTCTGAAAATTATTATATAACAGTGGCATAAATCATGCATGAGGCATGTTCAAGATTAAAATGGCAATAAAGCTTTTCCAAAAGAAAAGTAGAAACAAAATAAATACAAAGGATTAGACTGTAAAATTACCTCTCGAAAATATCCTGCCATTATAGCATTATACATGCCAGCTACAGGTTTAACGTTCATTTTCCTTGAATCATTCAGCATCGCATATGAACCATCAAACTGCATTTAATGGATGAGAAGAAATACAAGCTCTATTTAACTTAAACTCAGAATAAAATTAGTTTGATAAAATACAACCCCCATCAAAATGAAATTAGGAATTATGAAAAGCAAAATGAATTAACTATGCACAAGCACTCGGAACTACAAAACAGGAGAGCTGGATAGCAGCTTACATCTTTCATTTCACACTCAAAATTATCATCCTTCTAAATGTCTCAGCATTTGGCTTAAGGTTATGGCAACAGATCACTGAATAAATTCGCCAAACCTTAAGATCAAACAAAATGACAAGAAAGATAATAAGAAACTCAAATAGTGGTCAACAGTCAAGAACAATATAAAATTCTCAATGAGAGTAATGACAGAACAGTATAAGGGTAAAACAACTTTGTAGAACTAGAGAATTGAAGTGCGATACCAAATTACACTCATAGTTCTCTTCAAGAGCATGCAATATGCAACTTAGCATGTCTATGGACAAGCTCAAACCGTCTTCAGAAATCTGGTTAACAATATCAAGAGCCAGTTGCACCTACATTATGATAAATAAACATTAATCAATTTCAAAGCATTTGTTAAAAGATAAAAGAACAGAAGTTTGATAAGAAAAGACCT